ATTTTAAAAGTGACTCTCAGCGGTTCTACCTTACTATATTTTTATCATGTTGGCGCCTACACATATTTATGTTAGTGTTTGGCCGAGCTTCTCCGCCTTGATGATGTCACACAAATGGGAGGGACCTACAGCTTTACGCCGACTCCGAACGGCGATTGTTTATTTATGAGAAGCTGTTTTTCATGGCAAAAATACACTCGGAGGTTTGCTATTGCCCGCCGAGGTGCCACCGCTGTTAAAAAAAAAAAAACCTTTTTTCTACATATTTTTTTGCGATGTTGCTTTGACCACGGCTTGAACCCAAGCGCGGCGGAGTGGAAGCGCGCACTGCTTACCATTACACCACAGCGGCCATTGTCCAATCAAGCCTTGTGTAATATTAAAAAAAAAATCACTTTCGTAAAAAAATTTAGCTTTTCAATTAGATTTCTTAGAAAGATTTTAGGTATGCAGTTTTGTAGTGCATTCAGTTTTAGTGCAATGGAGTGCAAGTTTGAAGTACCTGGGACGTACCGCTGATTTTTGGCAAAAAGTCCTAACTACTTTAAACTTGCACTTTATTAAACATATGTTCTAAAATTAAATGCGCTTTGAAGCAGCATACTCCAAACCTTTAATAGGGAATCTAATTAAATAGTTCGACATTTTTTCGAAAGTTTGTTGAATTTTTTTTATAAGTATTAGTATTTTGCACAAAGTTTGAAACCGGATTTATACGTTTTTTTTTTAAGAATAAACTAAATTTGTAAAACATTAAATGAAATTAAATAACAAAAAAAAAATTGTTTAAATGTGTCAATGAGTGGGCGCTTATGATCATTACATGGGGTGTATTTCAATGTGCATTTGCGCATACCTTGACTCTAAATACATACATACTGTCACTTTTTTATTTACATACGCCATTATGTCTTAAATAAGCAAACAAAACTTGTGGCTAAGTAATAAATTCTTTACTTGTACAATTGGTTTTGTAATTTTCATTTCAAAATAGGCCGTTAGTACCTATTTAATTTAAATGATATGAATTCACACAAAACAAAACAACGCCATAATTCAATCAAGTGTGACTTACTTGCAACACCAACCAGAATGGCGATCGTGGTCAATTGCAAAAAGCTTTGGAAAAAAGTAGCGAAACATTAAAAACAAAATGACTCAGATGAGGTTTAGCTGTATTTAAGCGACTAATAAATATTTGAAGAATAAGTTGGAAAAGACTTTAATCTTATAAAATTTAAAGCAAAAGTTTTTGTAATTTCTCCAATCTATTTTAGGGAAAACTTTCAATGCAAACTCAAAAACGTAAACAGGCCGGGTGAAGAACATGCGAAAATGTGCCCAGAGAATGCGAAAATGTGCCCAGAGAATGCGAAAATGTGCCCAGCAGCGAAATCAAGCGATAATTACTATAATTATAACTGTTTGCCTCTGTTTACTTTCAACTATCCGGTTATTTTTTATATATCTTTCGTTAACGTCGGATATTTTTATCGCTAAATACCTTATACATACACATGTACACATACATATGTACACACAGTAGCGGACACAAAGAGAATATACTTAAATATTTGTATTATAAAACAAATTACTTATATAAAAAAAAATTACTACATACATACCTACGATCAGTACATTTGCCAACTGACTGTAAATAAAATGAGAGGTTTGAGAAAGCCAGAATTGGCGGAAGCTGATAAAGTCACAATTTTGGCTTTGCATATTATGAATTCGTACGATGCACGATAAACGCTTGCATTCTGTTATCCCCTATTACGAACCGATGTTCGTCGTAGCAAATCCGGTAGTTAGCGCAACTTATTTGTGTTGGTTAACGATAAAAAAGTGAACAAAAACCACCGGCACTCAAAATAATACATCTGTCGGGCGTATGAAAAGAACATTCCGCCCTCTGTTGAATATCGTAATCGTCAGTAAAAGTGACGATACGGCCGTCGTCGGTCATGTTACTGATGCGCTGACGATCGTCGACGATGACGATATTCAGCATAGGGCCGAATACGAAAACTAATTTCTACGATAAGCTTGCCAGCAGTTATCGTCTATCATATGGAAATTCAAAATAGGGGGGTTACTTAGATTTTTGGCAGAAGACCGGATCTATAGAACGCAGAGCTAATTCAGAACAAATTAAGAAAAAGCCGGATAAACCGTCTGTATTTTACATATATGAATTTTCTCTGTAGTAACACTAACTGCTAGTCAGAAATCATGACCAAAATTAAAACATGACTGCCAAAAATAGATATAGCTTTAATTTCGAGATCAGTAAGGCCAAGTAAGTTCAAAATATTTTGGATGGCAAGTAAAACAGAAAAAATTGGTGAAAAATTCACACTTGGTGGGGTTCACCGATCCCACTACTGTCAATGGGAAATACACCATACGCTGAACCGGACCGACTATACAAATATGGTATATTATAGACAGGACAGTGATCGATAATCAATCCACACCTTCGCCAACTCTCACCTCTTGAAATCCATCATCGGATCCCCTATCGCAGACGCAGAGCTCGGGGTGCTTCGTGAGACCCTCGCCTAAAATATTCTAATAAACGGTTTGAAAGCGGTTTGAAAAAACCGAGTCAATCATCATAATGTCCCCCGAATTAAGCCGAGGGAATTATACAACTACAATGGGGTGGAAATAAGTAAAGTGTCAGCTCCTAGAAACTTGAACCAATCGCCAAGCCATTGCCCCGAAAACCTTCAATGGACTAAACTCCAGAAGCCACGGGTCAAGCACGATTGGAGAAAAGCAATCTTTGCCGACAATCGACGCTATGATTTCCAAAATAGTATCGATGGTCAGATTTCTTTTAGGTAAAAAATATTTGGCTGGACTCTCCGAGTAATAATTCCAGAAGCTAAAACTCCCCCCAAAGAAGGCCTTCATGAGAGTCAAGAGGCTTTCCTTTCTCCTTACTTTTCTTCCAGAAGGGACATAGGGAAGAGTTCTTCTAAAACTGCTTTTTTAATTCACAGAAATCATCCCTAAAGGAAGTATTTATTTAAGGTTCAAATCAAATATGTACATATATTCATTTGTAATGCTTAATTCGCCTAAATTGTGAATAGAAAAATGCCTTCTAAAAGGCATGCCTTTTTCAGCCATTTAGAATGGCTTCACTTAAGAAGACCTACCTAAATTACCTGCTGGGACATAAAAAGTGTTTTATCATCGGTCCTGCCTTTGAAGAGTTGTCGCTTCTAATGCGAGGCGGATAAATTTACTTTTCGCAGAAATATATTTCAATGCTGATAGCATCGGTTTGAAATTAACGTCATCGCACATGCGGTCCAATAATTCTTCCGCATGTAAATAAAACAAAATAATCACCTTTTTAAGGTTGTCCTCTTATTTAGCCGCTACTGTATGTACATTCATATGTATACGAATTTGTTTTTAATAAGCCACCACAAACTTTCAGCTATTTCTCGTACATATGTACGCATCGTTTGCAAATATGTTTATACATTTCCAACTGTTATCGATAATGGAAGCTGCAGAATTCTTCTATNCATCGGTTTGAAATTAACGTCATCGCACATGCGGTCCAATAATTCTTCCGCATGTAAATAAAACAAAATAATCACCTTTTTAAGGTTGTCCTCTTATTTAGCCGCTACTGTATGTACATTCATATGTATACGAATTTGTTTTTAATAAGCCACCACAAACTTTCAGCTATTTCTCGTACATATGTACGCATCGTTTGCAAATATGTTTATACATTTCCAACTGTTATCGATAATGGAAGCTGCAGAATTCTTCTATTTCGTTCAAATACATTCCAACGTCAACTAACAAGTATGTATTTATGTTATTCCCTACATATCGGTAACATTCCATAATTACTATTTTACCTACATATTTACCCATACATGTACTTAACATATGTGTGCATATATGGGTTGAATTTGCGTTTTAAGGTGCCTTTTTTTAAATATATAGTTGTATATGAGATTGTTTATAACTGTTTTGTTGATTTAAGTTTTCGTTTGCATTCATTTAACTATTGCTATGAGTACAGTAAAGCTATATATTGTAATTTTGCAGTTGAATCTAAAGTATTAATTAGCTTATTTGCGCTATNGCCTTCTAAAAGGCATGCCTTTTTCAGCCATTTAGAATGGCTTCACTTAAGAAGACCTACCTAAATTACCTGCTGGGACATAAAAAGTGTTTTATCATCGGTCCTGCCTTTGAAGAGTTGTCGCTTCTAATGCGAGGCGGATAAATTTACTTTTCGCAGAAATATATTTCAATGCTGATAGCATCGGTTTGAAATTAACGTCATCGCACATGCGGTCCAATAATTCTTCCGCTGGTAAATAAAACAAAATAGTCACCTTTTTAAGGTGTCCTCTTATTTAGCCGCTACTGTATGTACATTCATATGTATACGAATTTGTTTTTAATAAGCCACCACAAACTTTCAGCTATTTCTCGTACATATGTACGCATCGTTTGCAAATATGTTTATACATTTCCAACTGTTATCGATAATGGAAGCTGCAGAATTCTTCTATTTCGTTCAAATACATTCCAACGTCAACTAACAAGTATGTATTTATGTTATTCCCTACATATCGGTAACATTCCATAATTACTATTTTACCTACATATTTACCCATACATGTACTTAACATATGTGTGCATATATGGGTTGAATTTGCGTTTTAAGGTGCCTTTTTTTAAATATAGAGTTGTATATGAGATTGTTTATAACTGTTTTGTTGATTTAAGTTTTCGTTTGCATTCATTTAACTATTGCTATGAGTACAGTAAAGCTATATATTGTAATTTTGCAGTTGAATCTAAAGTATTAATTAGCTTATTTGCGCTATGATTGCGTTTCTTTGAGAGTGTTTATATATTTATGTATGTGAGTAACACTATGTGTTACCTGCTGTGAATATTTATACTTTTTCCAAATTAGATAGAAATCGATACGTATAAGAAGNCCTGGGACATAAAAAGTGTTTTATCATCGGTCCTGCCTTTGAAGAGTTGTCGCTTCTAATACGAGGCGGATAAATTTACTTTTCGCAGAAATATATTTCAATGCTGATAGCATCGGTTTGAAATTAACGTCATCGCACATGCGGTCCAATAATTCTTCCGCATGTAAATAAAACAAAATAATCACCTTTTTAAGGTTGTCCTCTTATTTAGCCGCTACTGTATGTACATTCATATGTATACGAATTTGTTTTTAATAAGCCACCACAAACTTTCAGCTATTTCTCGTACATATGTACGCATCGTTTGCAAATATGTTTATACATTTCCAACTGTTATCGATAATGGAAGCTGCAGAATTCTTCTATTTCGTTCAAATACATTCCAACGTCAACTAACAAGTATGTATTTATGTTATTCCCTACATATCGGTAACATTCCATAATTACTATTTTACCTACATATTTACCCATACATGTACTTAACATATGTGTGCATATATGGGTTGAATTTGCGTTTTAAGGTGCCTTTTTTTAAATATAGAGTTGTATATGAGATTGTTTATAACTGTTTTGTTGATTTAAGTTTTCGTTTGCATTCATTTAACTATTGCTATGAGTACAGTAAAGCTATATATTGTAATTTTGCAGTTGAATCTAAAGTATTAATTAGCTTATTTGCGCTATGATTGCGTTTCTTTGAGAGTGTTTATATATTTATGTATGTGAGTAACACTATGTGTTACCTGCTGTGAATATTTATACTTTTTCCAAATTAGATAGAAATCGATACGTATAAGAAGAAAGCCTTATAATTTATCTTTTATAAATTTTAGTAAAGAATAAACTCATAAGTAATTTAAGAAGTATGTAGGTACAAAAGTTATGCGACTCAAACCGAGACGACGTCAATTCAAATATATGTATACGTATGTGAAACATTCAGAGTCATTGCGAGAGTCGTGTCGAATGCAAGTCGTTTTTCGAGAGTCGAATCGTATCGAAACTTTCATGTCATTGCCCAGAATTTCGACTCGACTAGTGTATTAAAACGGAAAAACTTGGCAGCGCTGCATTATTTTCGACGTTTACTTATTTCAGCACGATAGTAGACAATGCCAATGTTGTCGAGTTGTACAATTTAGCCTAGCTTACGACTTACGCAATAAGGGCGATTTAAACATTGCAATTGGTTGGGGAAATTTAGAATCCCATAAAAACATTGATGCGCAGAGGCCGCGTCGAATTCAATAACACGAAGTGACCCATGTAATCAAATCGGCAATACTGCAGCACTGATGAATGTTTGCAATGTTTTTACAACGTCCCAACTGATATATAAAGCTGCTGGAAATTCACACCGAACATCATACTTGAAACTCGAACAATTCCTATATTGAGCGCTTGCATTCGATTGGTAATATACTCGTAAGAAATGTGGTTTTGAAATAGGTCCTTTTTTAACAGTTGATCGCGATTTGGTGAACAAAGTTCTTCGATGTTAAACAGTGTGTATCTTTGGAAATTAATAGATGATTGCTGCCTGTTTAATTAAATAACTATTACTTGATTTACATATTTTATTTTATCCTCTTCAATTACAGATTTTTGATGACAAAATTAAATTTACTCTCTTATTCAAAATTTAGACTTTTTAATTAGTTTGTAGTCCGCTCGGATTTGTGTTTTTTTTATAATTACATATGTATGTATGTGCAGAAATAAATATGTATATTTATGTATGTATGTTTACATTAAAAAGGAAGTTTTATTTTTAATTAACATTTCTAATGCTTATTGTGCCATAGTAATAATTCAAAGAAATTCATATATGATATTTCATTTCACTTTTTAATAACTTTTTTCATACACTTAGGTTTCTAATAATCTTAAACAAATATACATAGAATCATGTAAAAATGCTCTTTACTCTTCTGTAAAAATATACATACGTAAAATATGTAAGTTTAGTATAGTGAATTTAAAAGTACAAATTTAAGCACGCTATCTCATAAATTACTTGAAATTTTATTTTAGTTTAGTAAATTTTTAATTCAAATATACGTAAAGGTACCCATGTCATAGAAATTATTTCCAACAATTCCAATTTCTTGTGTACGTTTGGAATGCGCTTCTTTAACTCTAACTTTAGATAAGTTTTTCTAACGTTTATAATCTATTCATTTTCAACTGGTTTTACAAGAGTCCTTAGAATCGTCCAACCGCCAATGATGCTATTTAAGTGTTTTCATCGTAAGCGCCCCTTTGTAACCGATTTTGGTATTTCCCCTTTTTCAATTCACTTATAATGACATATTGTTTCGCCTACCATTAACCTTATTTACTAAATTGCATATCTTTAAGGCTGGTCCCAACTTGAGACCCATATACTTCATCATCATTTCCGAGTTGAGAAGCAGCAGCGCTTTTCCATCGATTTCCTGCAGAGAAACGAGAATTCCAAATATTCGTATGGTCTTTTATTTAAAATGAGACTTACATGTTTTCTGAAAAGATCACCGTGTACAGCAAGTGTGCTGTCATTGCTTTCGATGAACTGTATTACTTCCTCAATTGACCAATCCCCGGGATGTGAACGTATTGAAGGTAAAGATGCAGAATTCAGTGACGATGCCGATGCTGCTGGTGGTGCTGCAGGCGGAAAAACTACTGCACCTGCAGCGGCCGCCGCTGTCGATGAAGCCGACTGCGAACCGCTAAATGGTGTCGACACCGATGTAGGCAAGGATGCGCTAGACGAGAGTGTCGATGGCGACTTGTATGTGGAGGATCCAAGAACTGTGTTAACAACACTTGATTGTTCCGGATGCACTTCGGCTACCAGTGGAGCAAGATACTTCGCATTTGAGTTTGACGAATTCGCAACACTGGATGTGGTGATTGGGATCTGTTTTGAATCATCTTGATTGTTGAGATGATGCAGACGAATTTGGCGCAAAGATTGCGCTTGTGATGCAGTCGATGTACCATTTGTGTTCGGTTCAACCTTAATTTGCACTGGTACTAAATTGTTATTATTGATTGATAATTTGTGGTCGGCATCGGGTTTAGGAATGCTAGCACCAACTGCAACCATAACTGGCGCAGAAGATGAGTCCACCACATGTGACAAAGTAGTTGTTGATGTGGGCATTTCCTGTTTGATAATGTGAGACTTTTCGCTCAATAAACCGAGTGCTTTGCGTTTCTCAGGAATAACTGGCGACGTGGGAGGAGTTGAATTCTGTGACAACTGCCTTTTCTTAGCCATGGCACATTTCTCACATTCTTCCGTAGCGGGTACCAACGATATGAGATTAGGGCATGCTCTGCATGTGGTGCATAGTGTTTCGATGAATTGTGCCAAACTATCGTCATCCCTCATTCGCAACTGCGAAGGGATTTTAACCTAAGGGATTTCAAATTACAAAGTCATTTACTAGATATGTTTTCTTATGATAATTCTCGAATTGCCACACTTACAGTGAAGTTCTTTCCTGCTGCTGGCACAATGTGAACATCTCCTTCTAGCGCGAATAATAGTTTCGAGAGCTGTTGGGTGTCTGTGCTGGCAGCCAGAACTTCTTGCAAACATAATTTCGCCAAGGTTTGATGAGTGGGTCCAGTGACCATTGAGGGCAACTTAGAGCTGTTTACGAATGGTCCTCCCTTGCAGTTTGTGTGGAAGTGTGCGGTGACTGGTGTTGCTGGGAGCATGGCGTCTGTCTCCTGGACGAAAGTGTAGCGTGGCCGGGGGCTGCGGTGCTTACTCGAACTCGAATCGGTACGCGATTTATGACCCGGCGGTTGCATTGGATGACAACTACGTGCACACCAACCGACCGGAAATATATCCCGGGAGTCGTAGCTACACCAGTAGTCGAACGCTCCGCGCCACCCATCGAATGTCACATGAATTTGGTCGTCTTTAATCGCATCAACCGTCGCACAGCAAATCAGTTGAGGATTTTTCTTGTCGACCGCCTCGAGCTTTTGGCCAACTTTGAAGAGATTCTCCAAGGGGCCTGGCGGCTCCGGCTGGAAAATCTCTTCCGGTGCAACCATTGCGTTATTTAGTATCTTGCACAGGTAACCGGGCCAGCTGGAGGCATTCATGCGAAAGCCGAGTGGTGGTTGCAACATGCCGCCGTTCTTCTCACAGTGCCCAATCGCATGGATCTCATTCGAGTCGACTAAGCGCCAAAAATCATTTTGACTGTCACTGCCATCCAAGCGCAGTCGCAGCCGAGATCCGAGCACTCCCACAACCGTCGCAATACATGTCGATGTAACGTTACGCGGATCCAATGCCTCTAGTTTCATGCCAATTTTAAAATCGTTGATTGGCGGATTTAGCGCTTGCTTAAAGCAATCTGGTGGTGCCGCCACACTGCCAGTTTCCTAAGATAGCAGAGAAATATTAAATATTTAAATATAAAAAAATAAGCAACGCCTAAAAATTACCTCTAAATAAGCATCCCAATCAAATACGTGGAAACTCTCATACTGAAATGGACCGGTTGGAGTGCAGGAACCACCGCCAATTGATGACAATTTGCCACGTTCCGAATCGCCACGTCCACCAACGCCGCCGCTGTTATGTTGTCTCGTTGAACCGTTCTTTTTCTGATGTTTGTTCATGCACATTACTGAACAAAAATCTTTATTTGGCGCGCCTTCCCTTATGACATTATCGCATTGCGTGCAGGCGCCTTTGTTGTAGGCTTTCCGAAATTCTGCAATGCACGTTTCCGAACAGAATTCCTTCTTGCCGTTCTGTGTGGGTAGCACATACTGTAGCAGTTGCTTACTTTCGCCGCACCACGTACAAGTGGCGCGTTTGGCCGGTCGCCCACGAGAGCGCTGATTGCCATTGTTATTTTGGCCTGATGATGTGGGCGTGGAGGACGCAGTGGTCGAAACTCCAGTACCGTTCGAGCTCGTATTACTGCTATTTGACTCCCTTCCGCCCGACATTGCTGTCGTTTGAAACCTATATCGTATTTGTGGCCCGCTCCTATAATTATTTTATGGTTCTTATTAACTCGTATAGCTTTCGCCGGTGGCAAGCTCGTTGACTTACGACGCCACACACAAACACAGCTTATTCTAAATTTCTGTTCGGCAAGTCTTTCTCACTTTTACTGATTGGCGAAAAGAACTTTCGCAAAAATGGAATAATTATTATCATTTTACACTTTCAATGCTTTTTACACTAGCGCCAGCCATTTAGCGAGATTCTTTTTCATTGCAGTGGATTCTGGATGGATTCTCGGCGTTTTGCTGTACTGCCTATTGCCTTTCAAAATGTCAAATTTGGCGTTCTTTCATTTTCTCCCACTCTCTCTCGCTCTAACCACTAGTGAGCTCTTTTTAACATTATGCCAAGCGCGTTCTACGCTTTATTTTTCCAATTATCACGTAATAAGTTTTTCATAGATATTTTTGTATAATTTTTACTAGCAAATAGTTCACCAAGTTTTATTAAATGTTTTATTATTTTACAAGCAAGTTAATCTTTCTGCACACGTATATATTCGCGAGGAATTTTCTATGTTTTTCCACAGAGCTGCAGGCAAACAGAACGTTTGACGTTTCTGACGCAAATTCGCAACAGGGTTACCAACTCTTACGCCTGCCGATTTCGTCGAAACAAATCCCTTTGCGAAAGTCGCTTTAAATAAAATTCCATTTCTGCTCATCTTTTAATAATCGCTTGAGTGAAAAAATATAATGCAACTAAAAAAATAAATTAACAGACAAACGAGCAAAGAAATTCTGCACTCGACTTTTACAGCATATCTACTCGAGCGGTTGTAACTAGGGGCTTCCATGATAAAAAATTATCATGGGAGCTTCTAGTGATATCTTCATACTTCCATAAAACCATCAAGAAAAAACTAAAAAATTTGCGTGTTGTAACATTGATATCTCGCTGCCAGGAGTGACATTAAAAATTTTAGTCTTAAAATATACTTTTAACTACTAATATACTTTAATGCATAACCGTTAAGATTATTGTATTGTTTTCATGGACTGTTTGAATAAATGAAATGATTAAAAAGAAAATTCAAATTTTAAAAATCATTCAGCGTCGCATTTAACATTGATTCGCATTTGCCGGCGAACGCATGTTGGGTACCTTCACTTTTAGGTCGCAAATCTGGTAAGAGCTGGTGACCCTTACTCAAAACAAATTACATCTAGTACAATATGTTAGATTCTATTACAATAAATTCTGGATTGGCTCTCAAAAAGGGTTTTGGAAATGTCTACCGCAGGTGTGTGTCACTAACTGTGGTTCGTGGCTTTGCTAACGGTGTCGAAAAACAAACTTGTTCGCTTACTGCCAATGCAAGCACTGTTGATAAGTTAANATCGCAAACCTGGTTAGAGTTGGTGACCCTTACTCAAAACAAATTACATCTAGTACAATATGTTAGGTTCTATTACAATAAATTCTGGATTGGCTCTCAAAAACGGGTTTTGGAAATGTCTACCGCAGGTGTGTGTCAGTAACTGTGGTTCGTGGCTTTGCTAACGGTGTCGTAAAACAAACTTGTTCGCTTACTGCCAATGCAAGCACTGTTGATAAGTTAAAAAAAACTTTATTTCCTGGATATACACATCAGGGTTGCTGCGAATATTATTCCGAAATAAAATTCCTTTCCGGATAATAAACAAACCGCCTGTCCAAATTAAACAAATCTGGTATAATATGAAAGTGGACTGAAATAGCTTTTAATCAAAAATAACGAACGACCTCTAATTATATTTTTTTTTTATAATTTAATACTAAAGAAATTTATATACCTGACACAAAGTTTGTTATATGGTAAATAATTAACATTTTTTATTTAAATATTTTTCAATATATGGCTATCCTAGTTTAAACATTTCAGTTTTAAAGCTATTTAAGTCCTCTTTCATTTGATACATTTTATTAACATTAGATTAACAACAAAAAAAATAAAGCAAAAGCTGGTCAAAATAAGGCTATAATTCTGCATTTTCATGTATGTATATATAAAAATGTCTGTTTGACAGATACAAACCCACATAAACCTTTATTATTCTATATATTTGAATGCAAAGAAATTCTACTTTGTTTATGCTATAACAGACGTAGTGTGTCGATTAGGTCACATTCAATTTGCGTTATCTATAAATTCGGTGACCAGCAGAGAACAGCTTTGAGTATGATCGAGCCTTTTTGATCACACTCACTAAAAATCAAGCACAAGCGAACGCCACACTCGGCTACTATGTGTTCGATCGAGATGCATACCCGACAGCTGCTTTGGTTACGAACGAGTCTGTTCGATCACCCTCGCTATAAATTGAGCACAAGCGAACACCACACTCGGACACCCGCAGCTAACCCGAAAATTTGTGTAACAATGAAACGGACACCCGAACATTGCGATAAAATGCAGGACAACAAAGAAATTTACGCTGAAGGTAACTGGCGCCAATATGTTCCCACAAAGCATACGAAAATGTTGTTGCTTTGTGCTTGTGCATACGCAATGAAAAAATTAGAAGCGAAGTAGACAAAAATGTTTTTGCATCTATTTCGTATAGTTTCGCGTGGAAAGCTGTGTGTGTATATATTAGAACACAGCCTAAAACTATGTAGGTACATAAGTACTTTTACAAAAAATAAATGTGCACCGAGTGTATAGGGCTTGGGCATTGCCGATCTACACACATTTATACCTAAATGGATGTAGGCGTCGTGATGCCGCATTTTGTATGAGCAAAAATATAAGAAATGGTTAAATGTACACTTAAACAAACTACCGAAAAATTCAACCTTCTCTTTACCCTCTACGCACAAAAACTAAGAACACCGCGATGAGAAGGCAACATTTTTTGTAGAAACAAAAACGTCATAAGCCAATCAAGAAAATTTTGTGCACACTCGGGTTGAAACTCGAACACCCGGGTATATTGAGCTGCAAAGCACCCGAACCCAATCAAGTATGTATGAAAAGCAATCGGGTGTTGTGGCCAACATGTTCGTCTTGAGCTCAGTCGATAACGAACAATACTTCTGCTCGTATACAGAGAACGATGCAAAACGGGTTTTGTTAGATGATCGAGTATACACGAAAATCATGCACCCGCTGCAGATGTCTGGTGACCAGATCTCTGTGGACAAAAATCGAGACATTTCTAAAGCATCGAATTTGAACATACAATTTAGTTTTTAAAATAAAAAGACATACCATCTTTTCATACAGTTCTATTTAAAACAAATCAAATAGAAAAAGACTTGAAAAATTATCGTAAAAATGTATACACGTAATACATATATACGGTGGCGAAAATGTAGATAGGGAAAATACATTTTACCAAGTTTTGGCAACGGTAAGTTAAAGCTACTTAAAATTTGCACTTTGACTTGAATGGGTTACAAAATGCAAACTCAGTATGTTTCTAAAAAATAGAATTACAAAGTTCAAATTTTTTTACCTAACTTTGTCGAGTTTTACTAATTTTTGTAGAAAGTTTAAAATTTTGACTTACATGGTCTTTGTTAGATAACGAGCTACACTTTCACAAAAAATTATAAACATTAAAGTGCTGAACACATTGAAAACGACGAGCTACGGGCCACAGCTACCAATCTTCACGCGGCAGCTACATCATGAATTTGTATGAGTTTGACATAAAAGAAGAGGTAGAACCTTATCTGTCGCTGGAAAAATAGAAATAGATCTAATCTGGCCACAATCACAGTTGAAGTGTAGCTCTATCTAGATAAGAGTACATGTTAAAATAATTTGACAGCTGTTGTCCGTAGCCCGTCGTTTTCAATGTGTTCAGCACTTAAATAATCCATAGGGGTTAGGATAGTTATTTTTCATAATTTCACTAAATTCAAGTAAGAATCGCTTCATTAAAAAAAACAACAAAGCTTAACAAATAATTACAAGCACTTAAAAAAAAATGAGAAGAATGATGGACTCCAATATAGCGAGAGTACCAGTTTGACAGAATAAAACATAGCCGAAGGTCATAGAAAATATGGATGCTAGCTATGTTCATGTCTCCCTTATATTTTATGTTCTTTGTGATAACGAAAGTGCTGACACGCTTGTACGAGAATTGTTTCTGGGCCAGAGTACTGGAAGACTTTTGTCAAATTAATAAAAAAATTTAATCGGTACAAATATGAAAAATCGGAACACTTATACGTTGGACTTTTAAAAAANTAGCCGGTACAAATATGAAAAATCGGAACACTTATACGTTGGACTTTTAAAAAATATTCAGCGGAACAATTTTCTCAAATTCGATACTAATGGTCACCGTATCTATAAACCATTTTAAAGCGCTATAGTTGTACGAGGTGTCCTCTCATTTTGAAGTGAAGTGAACGTAATTACAAATAACAGGGTAGATTCAAATCAGTTAACCAACGCAAAAAGTGGCTAATTGCCAGCGTTGACGTACATATGTATATATTTTCGGAGGCTCCGCAATTTCCGTTCGACTTTTTTGAAAAACATCCTCGGAAACAAATACATAGGTGAGTTCATATATATGTTAATACAAACATACATAAGTATGTATGTAAGCTAAACTCATGCTGTCCATAATCGGGAAGGTTGTCAAATTAATTTCACTCTATCGCAAATCCCGCATGATTGAAATCAATTGAAAAAAATATTAAAAATTTACATGCTTAAATGTTGCGTGCTTGCTAAAATTATTCAATTATCTGCTATTTAACATCCATAGAAATATTATTGAAATACATCTAGGTGTTGCTGAGCTAATAAAGGAAATAAACGTACATGCATGCCTACATATGTACATAAATAAATATATATGAGCGTTTGAACACAAAATACAACAATACTGAATTGTAACAAAAACAACTGGGGAATGACGAGCATTTCTTATTTTACCAAAAGGGCCCTCTGATTCAGTACAGCGGAACTCATCAATCAAAAATTTGGCAAAGCTCCCTTGTAACCAATATTTTGTTCGATGGCTCAATTGATACGGGCATGCATGTGCATACACACATACGAACGTACATATGTTGCCATGAATGTTGATAGAAAACAAACAGCAACCAGTAAAAAGTGTCAAAACAGATATGGAAAACGCCGAAACTCGCCCAATTTATGAATGACAAAACTGTTGCGCACACACAATCTCCAACACATGTGTTAGTACGAGTGTATTGCACATA